TGCTTTCATCAAATGCACCATAAATAGAGCATACAGGGTGTGATTTAAGAGTAGATCAAGTATCAACTATGACAGCTTGCGTGTCTGTCTAGTCTATCCCTATTTTTATGCTCACTAGGTTGGGTGAAAGTGTGCGAAAGTCTTTCGCTTACCCAATCATTATTCAATATGTTGACTTTTGTGCTTCCACATTTGTTTCGCACCCTGCCACATAAGTCATGTGTGTGTGTGTGTGGGTGTGTGCGTATGTTGGGGCAATTTGAGGGGTGTGAGGCTGGCGCCCTCTATTGCCTGGTGGCAGCGCATGCAAAAGACAAAGAAAAATTTGCTTAAAGTGCTGTTCGGCAGACGCGCAGCGCGTCGATGTGGAAATTGTGATAGTGTGCCGTTGGGTCTCGATGGTGGTTGCAATACCCAGGCGCCTCTCCACATACCCTTATCCCATTAATCCCCCTTATTTTACCCATGACTCATGCCCCTACCCGCATGCCAAAACAATGAACTCTGGCAACACTGTCGAAGTTGTTTAACTTTACATTTGTTGCCCTGGCTGTTTTGTCTGGTTCAGTTTCTGGTTTCTAGTCATGCTCCTGCTCCTGCTCCGGCTCTTCGATTCTGGCTCCTGCTCCCAGCCAGGCAGGCAGACCGGCAGGCAGGCCACGGCCACAGCTTAGTGTATCCTTTGATTAAGGTCCCCAAACAAGTGTCAGCTGGGGGCATTGTTTTCACATAGCTCTTGCCATTGAAATCGAGCTGGTTTGCTGGTTTGCTGGTTACCCGTTGCAGGTGTCAGCGTTGGCAAAACTGTGGCAAACAATACAATTAGTTTGGTTTAGTTTCTTGGCATCACTTTCAAAGGCGATTAAACTAAAGTTAGCGTACTGAAGGTAGACAGCATTTTACAATCTGATATTTATATTTTTTTGTCAGTTAAATGGCTTTAATATTTTCCAATTTTTTTGGCAGCTTTTGAAGTCGGCGAGGATTAACTAGAATGGGATTCAGCTGCTTTGGGAATATATTATCTATGATTTTGCATTTCACAAATTGTAGTCTGCAATTTAAATAAATATGAGAAACGAAAATCGAAACTGAATCCAGGCCACTCTTAATGCTGAAAGTATTGTGCCTCTCACATGGCAAATGTCAACGAGTTTGATGCGAAATATTTTTATGGCAAAATGAGACTGATTGGATAGAAATCAATATCATTACCAATTACGCTATGGTTGCAAGCCATTTAAAAAAAAGAAAACAAAAACTATCTACTGTTAGTAAACAATTTACAAATTAGGTCGGCTTGCTGCATTAGTTTGAGCGAGAGGAGCAATTAAAATTTCAGAAATTAAAAGCAAATAATAACAGAAAATTTAATTACGCTTAAAAATATGCCAGCAAGCAGCAACAGCGCCGCAAAAAGCCGAAAGCGCCTTAATGCAATCCACAAAAAAAGACTTTTTTTTATCTTGGTTTTTGTTTTGTTTTGTATCTCATCCATTTCATTTGCACAATCAATGAGGCGACCGCAGTTGAATAACATTTTTGCATGGCTGTGGTACAATCAACAGACGAGTCGAAATAATGCAATTGACAGGCGCCAATAAGCAGGCAATGCAAATTAAAGCGACAGATTAACTCACATGGAAATTTTACCAGACTGGCTCTGTATTTTTTTTTTCTTTTTGTAGTATTTTTAAGCACTTTAAGTGCTCGAGTGCAACTCGTACAAGAAGATATTTAAAGCCCAACTCAATACTCGTACTCTATGGTTGATAAAAAGCCAAGTTGATACAGTTGCAACTGTTGTTCAAACCAAAAAAAGAATTAATGAAATATTTCGTATTTAAATATCGAAAGTATTTTTTTTATCTTTTTCTTGACAATTCCAGCGGTAAAAAAGTAAATCTGATATATTTAAATATCGCAAATATTGATTTATTGTTTTTAGACATTTCTAGTTGTATGTACTCTTTGACTAACTAAACTATAGGGTATCTTCGAGTTTGGCATTCTTAGTTCTATGTGTTTTGATTGTTTTCGCAAATGTAAGCGAATTTTTCGAGTTTTATGTAAATTTAATTTGCCTGCCAACTGTTTGCACTATACCCCGTAATCGACCTTACTTCCCCTCACATCCTTGTCATTCTTCTGCTGCTTTCGCAGCTTTTGCTGTTTTGCGGTTTACCGGAAAAACTCTCGTGTGCAACACATTCGAAACTTTACAATGTTCCACAACACACACACACACACACAGACACAGAGAGATACAAAAATGCATGGCATGCCACACCCACTTTGGCGGCCCACTTGACTAGCGCAGATAGTTTTGCATTGTTGCGGTAAATTGGCAAAAATATACATACCATTGGCATTTATTGTTTATGCATTGGTTGCATTTGCCACATCATCATCATGATTGTCATTATGAACATGTTATTGTTGCCTGTTTTGGCTTTGCTATTGTTGTTTGGCCGCTTGTGGCTTTAAAATTGTGGCAATTAAATTTTGCAGCTTTATAGTCTGTATATCTGTGTGTTGTTTATATTATAAAATACACGTGTATTACATGAATATGGCAAATTCTTTCAAAAAATCTTTCCTGCACTTTTTGAAGCTTTCATTTTAATTGAGGTTTTAAGGTTTTAGTTATGAATTGTGCGCTTTACGGTTAATTTCGAAATGGATAGCAAGGCTCGTAAGCTGCCATAATTGGTTTGTTTTATATAATTTATAGATGTATACATGTAAGTGACAATGTGTGTGTGTGTGTGCGTGTGTGTGTGTGTTTTTGTCACATGGTGTACTTTACAAATTGGCCAAAGTTGATGGGATTTTTGTTTTAGTTATGTTATACAATAGAAATAACTTGTCTTTTTGTTCATTATTACCTCTTTTGAAGCTTTTCTTTTAAATAAATAAATTTGGATAGCCACGTTTAAAGACCGCCAAGCCAATAAACAAGCCGACTTCACATTTCGGCCATAAATAAAAGGCCAGGCTGTGTGTAGTATTTGGCCAACAGCTTGCCAAGGCAAAAACGTGAGAAAAATGTGGCCAGGTTTTATGTGTTTGCTTGCTGACCCGGCCAACACCTGTCGCTAATGGCCAACTCGGCGTTGGGTGCCAAACGTTTTAGTCATATGTTTGATTTATATGTCTTTTCTAAACTTTTAACATGGCCTTTTCTGAGCCAGATTTGTGGGTCCAGTTCGATGCGAGCTGACAAACAGTTGCCATATAATAGTCATTCTGTCTGACCCAGTTTGCTGTGGGGTGCTGTTCTCTTGTATAATGACAGCTGTGTGACATAGCATTAGAATATATACACACACACACACACACAAATTCAGACATATACACACACACCCAGCCATACACACAGCATAGTCACATATTGATGATGTTCGTCAAATGCTGTCGCTGTTTCTGTCAATTTTGTGGGCCACAATTGTTGCTGTTGCTGTTGTTGTGGACGATGTTAGCCATTGTCCATCGTTGTTCATCGGTCATTCGTTCAGTTGCTCAATGCATTGCTTATTTCATTTACATTGTATTGTTGTTGCTCTTGCGTTTTTGACAAATTGATCGCGTGATATGTTTGCCCAACATGCCGAACATTGTCAAACTGACTGTGTTGGCCATGTCGCAAATTCGCAAAAGCAGCAGCTGCATTATTTCTGCAACAGCAGCAAACTAAATGTGTTGCACATTGCACAAATGATTTGGTTGACAACTCACTCACAGCTGTAATGCTTGGTTCCCAAAACTAATTTCGACCTCATTTTTGGCGAGTTGCTAATTGAAAGCGATGCAAAATGGATCTTAATTAAGCATTTCAGTTGAATTGGCATAGATTGAGATGGAATATGGAAATATAAGCATATTGGACATACAATGGATTTTGAAGAAATTAGTTCGAAAATTACAGTGTTAATAACGACATTAACTTGACAGAAGATTTTTTTATGATTTGAAAAATAAAATTGAAATTTTAAGGTGAAGCTTAATTTAAGTGAAAAAATGGCTTGGGAATTGTGTTAAATCAAAACAACATCTTATTTTAATTGAGCAGTTAATGGTCTTGAGAACACACACATAACATAAAAGCTAGACCAGCTCAGCTGTTGTTATGCCTGCTGTCGGACAATGGAATTTGTTGACCAAAAACAAGTTGTACAACTTTGCAGACGACTTTGACATTGCTAGTTAAATCACTGCGGCACTGCTCATTCTATTTCTCTGGCTCTCTCTCTCTCTCCGTCATACACACACACATTCTGAGATATTGAGACACATGCATAATTAAACCGTTGACAGTGGCAGTCAACTTTATTGTGGGCGTTGTCGGTTATGAGGCAGCACACACTGTACTCAGACCCCAGGAAACGGTCGGTCAGGCAACAGGCAACGAGACAACGTCAATTCGTTAAAATCTACGTCAGCTTTGCTGCTAATTTTGTTTGCCTTGTGTAGCACACACACACACAAACCATCCACACACAAGGTAGCCGAAATGTGCACAGTGTTTACGAAAAGTATGCGCACGTTGTCGTTCGCTCGTAACGTTTGTCGTTTTGTTTGCGCTGCACTTCAAACACTGCAAACAAAATGCTGTCAAAAATCCAGTGATGTCTGATGTCTCTATATACATATATATATATATATATATATACCCCTGGCCCTGTTGCGTTTCTAGTTAATCCGCCTAACGTTATGCCATGAACAGTTTTTTGTTCAAAATTAATTAATTTTATGTGCAAACAGTTGTTAATTTTATCTCCCCTTTTTTTTCGTACATTTTTTCCTGTCTTTTTGACCCTACACGAAATATTTTACCCTGGCAACGTTTGTGTGAGATTCAACTTGGCTACGTTTTAATTGGCTTGAAGAACTCGTTATTCGAAGAACACAAAAAATAATAATAAATAAAAATAAATAAATAAATATAAGAAATAATCATAATCTAAATCATCTTCTCATTATTTTCTTTTTTTGCAGTTTTCCACACATGCGGCTTTGAGGTGCTTTCGGGGAATCGGCAGGGAAACTACACACAACATCATTTGGAGAAGTGATGAAGTCATGAGACCGACATTCGATCGACGCCTCTGGATATTATTGTTCATTATTTTAGTACAATGTAAGTGAGAAGTTCCCCTCCTTAACATACATACATACATTACACACATAAATAGGACCAAACATGACCAAATTAATGCGCCAAGTGGCCTTACTAAGCCAAGCAGCTCATATATTTGCCGCATGTGGCTGCCTTTTGTGTTAAAAACGAATACGGTACTTTGTATGCTGGCAACGTGTGAAAAATAGTTCACAGATAATCGCAGTCAGGCAGGTCACATTATTTATGCGCCAGCACACATTGCGGCCCCTCTCCATCCAGTCCCCTATCCCCAAGTCTTATCCCTGACCCCAACTGTGCTTTCTGCTTTTGGCTCTTATCATGGCTTGATATTCTATGCCACAAGCAGCAAACAAAGCCATTTCTTTTATTTGATGTGCGTTTTGGGGCATCCGAGCTTCGAGCTTCGAGTTCCGAGCACCCAAAACAGAGCCAGAGTCGCAATACAGTTGGGGACCAAATCGGAGCTGACCCTGGCCAAATAATATGTGCTGTGTACTGGCCTCAAGGCAATGTATATTTAGGGGTTACCAAAAAAAATAACAGGTTCTGCATAGCAAGCAAGGTTCCCTTTAAAGCAATGAGGCGTATGAGCGATATGCCATCAGGCAACACAAATTAATCATACGAGCATTAAAATCTCGGATGTACTTTGCTTAAATATTTATTAAAGATTTCAACTTGGCACACGTCTTAAACACATTGATATTTTACATACAATAGAAGCGTATGTGATGCAAGAATAGGTATTAGGTATTAGGGGTTACAATCGTGAGTTGTTTAATTATTTATAATGCTTTTTGTCTGTATTGAAAGATATTTGGTTTCTATAGGAAGAATATCTAAAACTTTATTTGAATATTAAATATTTATGTTAATTTTGACAAATTACATTTAAAAGATTTTTGCAAACTGGTTAAGAGATTGCATCTTTTGCAAAGTGAAGCAAATGAATCAATGTTTGCAACAATTTGTTGTGCTCGGGGTCAAGTCAAGGTTGCACTTAACCCTGCAGGAAAACCGACAATAAAAAACACTCCCAGCTACAGTGGCCAAACAGTGGCTACAGTAAAAGTCACATGCGTGTAACGAGCGGCATTGCAAAGGAAAATGCCCGGCATATCCGACTACTCAACACTGAAAACGGAAACGGAAATGCGCGTTCAAGAATTTTAATCTGAATGCGCAATTTCGCGTGTGAGCTGTGTGCCAAAATGGCGGCACATGTCGACCAACTGACGGCAAACGCAACCAAGCCACGTTCCATGGCGACTACCGATTGCCACACCCACCGCACACAATCCGTGCCACCGCCACCCCTTTCCTCTCCTCCGCTGCTTTTGATGCAGCCACATGTTTCACTGCGGTGCGCCTTGGAATTTCACGCGTTTATTTGCAAAGATTACGAAATGTGCCCGCTAAAGTTTTGTATGCGTTTCCTGTGCAGTCATCGCGTGCCCCCCATCCCCCAACCTCCCCCATCTACTCACTCTCTTTCGCATACGCTTTGTCTGCCACAGGTTTTTTTTTTTTTTTGAACTGTTTGCTTGGATGTGCTCCCCTACGCCCGTCCGTCCATTCGCACCGGCGTCTCGCTGACTTGTTATGCATGCAAAAGTCTGTGGCAAATACACAGAACGGGAACACATGCCGCTTCACAGCCACCATCCCAGCCCCGTTTTGGTAGTGACATGCAAAATATTTTTGCATAAAAATGTTTGCTCACCAACACACACACACACACACGGACTAAAGTCCTGCAATTCTTGCACTGGCAGCTGCAGCCAGAATTTCCGCTTTGGCTTTAGCCTATCCCATTTCATATATGCAAAGTCTTCAACTTTAAAGAATTTCAATTTCAATTTGAATTTTATTTATATTTTTATTAGAAATATGTATTTTTCTGCTTTTTTTTATTTTTTATTTTTATTGGCAAGTTAAGCGTGAAATTTGTCAGCAAATTTCACGGTGAAATTTTCAATTTTAGAATTGAGGTTTATTTTTATTACGTTTTACCATAGTTTCATGTTATGACTTTGACTTCTTCTACTTATTGTCTTCTTGCATCTTCGTATTCTTCTTCTTCAACGTCTTCTTCTTGTCTACCTCCCATGGGTTTAATGTCCAACATTTTATCCATGTATTTAAGCTGAATGTGCGTTTGCTACGTGTTCGCCATGCTAAAGACTCTCGATGCCAACTTGATGGCTGGCTAAGCGAAATGTGTTGCATACTTAAATGCGACATAGCAACAGCAGCTAACGGGACTATCAAACATATTTCAACTATAATAAAGTGGCGCGTTGGGTGTGCTTAGACATATCATTGTACTGACATCATCCGATGCCGTTCGTTTTCACATCGATCTGAATGATGAAACAAGCTGTAAACACTGCGGATAATCGTTTTTATAAGACATTTATCGAACGCTGCCTGCTGTATTTCATATTGTCATATATTGCATCTCAAGTCACATTGAATCGATATCATTTAGTTTAACTTAAATACATTTTTCTCACTGACGTTTGATCTTTATTTCTGATGTAAATTTCAATCTTCTTGTAAATTAAAAAGATTATATATTTATTTATTTTTATTTTTGGTTTCTTTAATACTTATTGATTCTCACTTTTACTGTCGGTTTGAATTCTCAACTTCTTCTAAATATTTATATATTTATTGCAATCTTAGATGGTTCCATGTATTTTAAATTTTACAGTAAATAGCTGCTCTTCTTTTGAGTTTGTGCAGTTTTCTGCGCATTATCATCTTTAAAATTTATGAGTTTTATGCTCCGTGCCTTCAACCACATTCAAAATTTGAACTTCAATAACCCAACTCAACAGTATTGCACGATGCCCCACTATGCCACAGATCTCGAAACTCTTTCCAAACAATGTCGTCGTCCCACAAAAGTAGGCAACACTTTGCAACTTGCAGCTTGCAATTCGTAGGGCGAACAGCATCAGAAAGAAAATTCCAACCGAAATCAGCTTAAATTTAAGCATTCAAGTGGACTCTGCTCCACTCAATTTTGCGCTCACTCAGTGGCTCGCTGCCTCTTGGTTGGCTACAATCAACAAGACAAGACCGCAGCGCGTGTCTCGGCATTCGTTGGTCGACGGCAGTGTTGGGGAGAGGAGCATTAAGCTACACCAAAAAGAATAAAACACAACCTGCAAGAAATTGGTGAACATTAGACACGATTGTGCTATATGTGCTAGGCCATATATATTTTTCGCTGAGTGTAGTTGCAGCCGCTCATAGATGACTCTCCAGTCGTGGGCACTCAGGACCAGAACAGATCCTGAGTTGACTGCAACTGCAACTAGGAACTGGCAGCGCAGAGTTGCAATCGCCATTGCCATTGTCGTCGTCGACTTAGTTAGCCACTTTTCTTTTATATAAAATGCGCCTTTTGTGCCTCGAGTGCCCCCACTCAACTCAACTCAACTCAACTCAACTCTCCCTCCCCAGCCTGCTCACCCCATTCATAACAAAAATACAGTTTGCAGCAAGTTTATTTTAAAACTCGACTTTTGTGTGTGGCTCAAGTTTACTTTTGGGTGGCGAATTACTTTTCGGTTATTTTATGTGGCCCACAGACGCCGCTGATTGTCTTGTTGTCTGGTGTTGATGCAGCGCCACCACCACCAACCACAGACTGTGGATACATTTTAGTGAGTATATTTATATTTTTTTTTTAGATATTCTACTTTCCTCTTCATTATATTCCCATGCCACAAACGTCTGGTTCGTCGTGGAGTTTATTACGCTGGCCGCTTGAAGTAAAAGGCTGCTGTTGCTGTTGCTGCCTGCAAAATGCAATTATCAAAAGTTTCTCGTGTTGCGCCTTTTGTCGTATGCTGGAAATTATTGCAGGGTCACAATTTTTACCATTTCGCAGCTATCTCGTCTTCTTTTGTTAACTCCAGTCATTGCTGTTAAACATGGCATAGCAAATGTAGAGCAAAAACTGTTGGAAGACCTAAAAAAAAAACAACAACAATTTGAGTAGTTTTTAAAGTAACTGCAGTTTATGGTTTTTAAAGAGTCGAAAACGGCTGAGTAAGGAGTAGGAGGGTGGGACTGCATGTTGGTGCATGTTGTACCGAAAAATGTTAAGAGCGGAAACGCAGCTAACAATAAAAGCCAAAAAGGGCATAAAACGCGCACTTCCGTTTTAAATTTCCCATCATTTACAGGTAGTCTCTGGAAAGGCAGCATGGAGATGGGGGTGGGCAGTGGCTGCACACAACGTGCAACACCGTGTGGTCAACACTGGGCTCGCTCTCTGCTGCCTTATATCTTTCTGCTTTTTGCCCTGTCTCCGTTTCTCACCCTGTTAGCTGTCGGCTTCCGGCTTGGCTAGACCGACAAAAATTGGCCGCACACTAAATTGCACACCTGAGATTAATGCGCCGGGCACTTGAAAGGCGTTTTGGAGCATTTCTGCCTCGCCCCTGCTCCCGCCTACAGGCGAATAGGCCAAAACGAAAGGTGTGAAAGCCAAAAGCAGTTGCAGTTCTGCATTTGTATAGTTCTATGCTAAACATAAGGTTTGCCGTTGCGAAAGGCTTTCCTTTTATTTTTTATTTTTTGTAGTTGTGATTCTTGTTGTTGTCCGCTTCCTCTTTCAGTCGCTATTGGCCGACACCTTTGGGCCTTTGTTGAGCGAAAGCGCTAAGTGAAGGCAACTGAACTTTTGGGTGGATAAACAGTGGCTAAGTTTAGTTTGTGTACAAATTGCAGGAAGTAATATATTTCGAATTGAGCTACAAAATAGTGAGAAACTTTGCAAGTTGTTGCAGCACTTTGATGTAGCCAAGATACACAAGCAGCTCAAACTAAGCACAATTTTAATTAAAACTTGTTAAAAACAATATTCAAAGAAATGTATCTTAATGAATACATGAAAGAAATTTAATGTTGAATTCATTTAATTATTATATAAAAAAATCGGACATGCAAATGTAGCAAAATCTTCAATTTCTTTCGTG